GTCTTTCAATGAATCTCTAAAGTGTATCAAATCATATTGCTGGACAGTATTGGGGAGCCCCGTGACTTCACAAAATATGCTACTCATCAGAGCCATCCTGCACTCCAGACGTTGCGTAATCTATTTACACATTGCAGTAAGACATTCGGCAATCCAGGCTTCCCCGTATGGACGGAGCTGGTGGAAACACCTGCCGCGCCACATGACCCAGGCGCGGGGCAGGACATTCCCCAGGATCCAGGCAGCATTGCATCCGCAGCTCCAGATCAGGAAACCATGGTACGGATCATAGCCGAACAGAAGGGAATCAACCGCGAGGAGGGTGACAACGAGTCCGCCTTGCAGGAAGAGGCCAACCGTATCCGCACAGAAAACGTATGCCATGGTAATACTGATGACGCGGACAACGACACGACCGAGTGCGTAGGACTGCCAGGGGAAAGATTGTCTAGGATCGAGATCGAGGGAATGAGCAGATCGATCGCTTCCCGACCGAACTCCGAGATCAACCGCGATGCCATGGATCAGATCGGCCGCAGTCTTGCTCGTGGTCGGGAAACTCGCTGGGGATCTCGTGAGCATCTCACGGTTGACGGAGCCCCAGAAGCTATTCAGCATGATATCGCGCGATGTCGGAATTGCGATCGCATCTTATCCCTAGGGATCGTTACAGACGAAGGTACCCGGTGTGACATCTGCTGGCAGTGCACTGTTGCCGTAGGTGCTACGGGTAAAAGTACTGCCGTCGAGAGCGACCTGGCATGCCCCCAGAAGCTGACACGCTGGATCAAGACGACGCTCTCCCAGGATGACATCACGAGGTACATGAGAGACGGAGCGCAGGTCATCATGACGGGCGAGCGCTCTATTCCAGGCAATGAGAAAGACGTGCTGAGGAGAATGACCAATTCCGCCAGGAAGAGGTACGAGAAGTGGGTCGACTCTGGCTCCCCTCCTGCACGCATGTGCAGATTGATGGGCGAGCGTGAGGACGACAGACCTCTATGCCATCCATTTGCCAATCTCGTTCAGCGCTTTCTCAATGATTTGAAGTTCCACCACCAAATGACAGGCGCTCGTGTTAATAAAGGCAAGAACGCCTATACCATTGAGGACATGCGCGACGCATGTGAAATCCTCGAGACCAGCATCAGGACTGGCCAAGCTGGCCGGAAGAAGTGGTGGTTGAACGCAGGCAGACTCGACAGAAGCACGCGGCAGGCGCGCGGACTTGTCACGATTGCCCCCCCCCGGGGGGGCGGCGCCCGTGAGAAAGTCACGCAGCGCAAGCTTGCCGCGCTTGCTTATGTTGAACCCGCCTTGGGTTCCACTGACCAGAGGGGGGTTGATTCAGGGATGAGAACCGATCCGATCGAACCTGATACACACTCCCAGTACTCTGATGATGCCCTGGAGCCACGCATGCCGCGGCACCCGCCGCCGCCGCCGCGCCCCGCTCCTGGCGACGCTGCAGGGTCCAGCGCCTCTGGCGCGCAGGACTGCATGCCCGCGAGGCCGCGCGGCACTGCAGCGCAGCGGCAGGACAGCGACGACAGCCGCAGACCTACTACACCTCCCCGCGCCAAGAGGGCGCGCATGGCGGAGGACTACGCTACGTGGTGGCGCGACGAGCTGGAGGACAGCCAGTGGGGCCCCAGATACTGGAGCTACTACATCAAATGCTGGATATACATCGCGGACAACAACGGCGAGTTCGTCTACGTCCGCGACATCCAGTACAATGAGTGATTCCGCCACTGGATCCCGAGGACTCCTTGGGAGACCTTCAAGACGAGCTACGTGTCGCACGATGGCCACAGGATGTGGGGCCGCAGGTTCTACGAGAGGGGCAACGCGTAGTAGAGTCGGCCGCCAGGCCCACCGCTCGAAAGGCTTGAACTTCATCATAATACAAGTTCGCCTCGAGCGGTGGCTGTTATATTCTTTTAGGCACTTCGCTATCTAAGACAAGATGCCACACATGCACACATATTTTGCGATAGCCAAGGCAGCCTCCTAAGGAGCAACGCCAACGGGAGTCGCCCAATAGAGAATTTATACATATGCAACTTTTCGCGCTCATCAACACGACTTTGCGTCTGGCCAGACATTTACTTTAATCGATAGATGTGTTTCGTAACGCGATCGTGTTCATCAACGCGATCTCATACTACATTTTTTTACAGCTTACTCCTTAGAGTCTGCTTACATTGCGTTGATAATGATCTGACGGCCAGCTCTCTACAGACAGCTGGTGGCAACGCCTGCCTCGCTTAGGCGAGGCAGATTCTGATGTTGCTTTAACTTGCTCAGATCCTCTTTCTCCGCCCACCCGTGCCTCATTCTTCTCCACCCTCGAGTGCCGAAGCGTTCTTTGGGGGCGCACCGAGGGGGCACCAAAGCGTGCTTGGCGAAGAAATAGGGACCCTGGGTGTTCCTTCTTACCTTACCCTGCAGCTGAGGCTATACTGATATTGCGCTCAGCTGCCTGCAGACTTGAGGATTGAAGGAGTAAAAGGGTGACGGATTCTTTTCCTCCGTTCCCGAGTCGTACCCTCGCGGGCGGGATTCGGGACGGGGGGTGTGAATAGAACCCGTGTAATACCCTCATATAATACTCCTTATCCTCACTTCTCCTGCGCCTGGCCGTTTGGGCTCAGGTATGTGGACAGATCGATCAGACCTTTGATCGTGCAGGAGGGAAAGACATCCATCTATCCCTCCTTCCCTCTACCAACGGATCAGGGGATCTGTACCCTTGTACTTCAACCCCATACACAGTCGAAGGGAGTCCAGTCCCAGCCCCTCCCCCCCAGGAGGCGGGCATTCGCAGGCGTCCCGGATCCGGTTCCCTGGTGCCCACGAGGCCCGAGAGCCAGGCCGCGGCTGGAGGCCGGAGTCCAAGAGCAACGCTCGATTCGGAAATTGCCAGCGCGTTCCACAACGTCTGCACAGAGCTTGCACTGCGCTGCAAGCTCTGGGGTGCAGCGTCTGTGCTGTGAGACACGTGGTGCGGGATCTGTGGTGTAAGCTACGTGTAATCAGCTGCGTGGTACAGGCTATGTGGTGCATGATGTGTGGTGCAGGCTGCTGAGAGGATGTGTGGTGCAGGCCACGTGCTGTGCTGTGCGGTGCAAGCTGCGTGGTGGAAGCTATGTGGCCCCAGGCTGTGTGGCGGAATATATGTGGTAGGCAGCACGAGGCGCCCACGATGCGCCCACGGCCGCCCACTAGGCGAGGCCTCGGCAGACACGGCCACTGCACGGGGTTCCTTCCAGGGGCGCCCTCGGCGGCCCAGCCGACGAGACCTTCGGACCCGTCCAGCCACCTGGATCGCAAGTAAGTCTGCAACATATAGCTATAGGTAGATGTGCACACAGACGCCCTCCAACGGATTGTTCCCGGGCCTCAGGGGAGGGTGGCGGTGGCGATGGTGTACGCCGCCGCCCTCCCGGCAGGTACATGCAACGTTCATCGCAGAGTGTCTGTGTTATATATTTATTCCTACATCATATATATACACACATATATCCTAATATATGCCATACTATACGGCATATACCATTGATCACCGATTAAAATTCTAATTTTCGTGGCGTATAAGAGTGCACTCCAGCGCGAGGACTGTTCGGGGAGAACATCGCCAGAGGACAAGGCCCGTCTGGAGGTAGACGCTGGACCCCCAGACCCAGAGCCTGCCCGCGCTGTGAACCAAAAGAGATTCCAGAAGCCTGTTGGCAGCTCTGTTTCTGGGGCCCGCCCGGCGAAGGCGCCCCCATAGGCCGAGCATTGGCAAAGCTGCCGCGTTGACCCCGCACTCGCCTCCGAGCACAGGTTGCCAGGCTGAAGCATGTCTCTATCGATAGCGTTCGGCGCGAGGCGGCACTCGCCTAGAGACGGCGTCAAAGCCATGGGCGGCGGTTTTCCTCCATGGGTGCCTGGGCCGCTGCGCCTTGCCCGCGCCTGCCCAAACGCGCCCCAGACGGGGCGCATGGCATTCGAGCCCTCTGTCGGCAACTGCGCTAACACCTTTTTGGCGCACGCGCTTCAAGAAAATGGCCCGAGCAGGTTAGTGCATAGATGCGCGCCTCCCACCTATACCAATGCTTGGCATCACTCTACTTCGGTGCCGATCCTCAGGATGCCGTCAGTTTTTGAAGGCACATCCCTGGTCGTCGACGCGCCCAGGGGGGAACAGCGGGGGCAGGCCTTTCAGAACGCTCGCGGAGAGCATTCCGAGGCGAAAAACCTCCGCCTCGAGTTCCCCGAAACTCTGGAGGTCTGGGGGGATGGTGGCTTTCGGGCAATAACTCAGGCCTCCCAATGCCGTTCGTGAGGATCCGGGTGCCCCGGGAACGCTCTCGGCGAGGCGCAGCTGCTGGAGAGCACCCCGAGGCGGGAAAACCGCCGAGAACCTACGAACACGCCCCACAGTTCGAACACGTCCGAAAACTTTTGGGGCGAAAAGGCCCTCAGGAACCGACGAGGATTTCCGTAAAACCGAGGTTCGCGAATCGAGGCAATGCAATTTCTGCAAATAAAAATTGCAATAATAAAAACCTCGGCGGTGAACGGAAGATCTGCCATGCAGAAGCGAGGCGTTGCAACATTTGCAACCTTGTGGTTTTTAATTGCAATTTTGCTTGCAATCTGTGGGACCCCGCCGCCCCAAGGGCGGCGCCTCCAGCACCGCCCCTGTCACGCTCCCCGCGCCAGGAGAGGGGGTCCAGCGCAGATCCAAGAAATCCCCGCGGAGCGCCAAAGAGTTACGCTTATGGCGTTTTTTATCAGGCAATCGCAAGCATGGCTCAAAGGGGTGTGGATTAGCGACGGGTCCTGTTTCCATAGGACATCGTGTATGTCCGCTGCCGAGCGAGGCGGCATCGGCCGCATGTTGGGGAGGGCACCTCACCCGATCCATGGATTTGGCGACCGCGCGCCAAATCCATGGATCGTTCATCCATGTTTGCGCGCCCCCGACTTTCATCTTCTGCCAAAAGGCCTCGCCGTTGCTCGGGCTCCTCCGGCCCGCCCGCCCCCCCGCGGCGCCTGCGGTCCTCAGCCTCGCCGACGCCGTGGGCGCGCCGGCGGGCGCGCCGGCGCCGGCCGCCGCGGGGGGCGGCGCGGCGGAGGCGCTCCGCGTCGTCGTTGTCGTCGTCGGCGTCGTCGTCGTCGGCGTCGTCGACGTCGTCGTCGGCGTCGTCGTCGTCGGCGTCGTCGTCGACGTCGACGTCGACGTCGTCGTCGTTGTCGTCGTTTTCGGCGTCGTCGTCGTCTTCGGCTTCGAGGTCTCCGTGGCAACGCCAGGTCGGGTGTTGCTAGAAGTCGGACGGGGCCAGGACGAGGGTGAGTTCTTTCCAGGGCGCTCTTAGACGTTCAGAGCGCGCCAGAGCGCTCTGGGAGGTCCGCGGCGCTCTGTGCCGGATCTCAGAGATTCTCGATTTTCATCCTCGTCCGATTTTATCCTCGCCCTGGCTTCGTCTTCAGAAGTGCCCCTGGCCCAAGGCCCCCACCCCAGGATTTCCAGGATGATCCCCTCACCCGATTTTATCTTCGTCCTGGCTTTGTCTCAAGAAGTGCCCCTGGCCCGAGGCCCCACCCCAGGATTTCCAGGATGATCCCCCCAGAGGGGGGTAGATATGTTGGGACAGAAGCCTCTGTTCCACTTTGAGCCTGCAGGCAGTTCGGCCCGCTTGTTGCGAGGAGCCAAAAACCCAAGGGGGGGGCAGGCGTAGATTTCGGGGCGATGGGCATAGGTACGGTCAGGGCGCTGGAATATTGTCGGACCGACGAGGCCGGCTCGGGGAGGGTACCCTGGTGCTCTTCGTGTCTGTCGTACGTTCTTGTGCACCCTGGGGGAGGGCACCCTCGGCGGTCTCATGGTTTGGGGTGTCTTGGCCAGCGGAGGGTCGCATGCTCTTGCAGGATGGTCTTCTGTCCCAGGCCCGACCGTACGGCCAGGGCGCTGGAGTAGGGACCGCTGTGGGCTCGGAAGGGGCGCGGGTTGTCGGGCTGCTCCTTAGATCTAGGCTTGAGTCGGGGATGTCCCTCTGGAGGACGTGGAGGAGGACGTGGAGAAGGGGGGCATTTGAAGGGCTTCTTGGGGTTGCCTAGGGGCCTCTTGGGCGCCTCTTGCGGGCCCCATACCCCCCTTGACGTGCCCCCTCCAGGCGGGCGCCGCCGCGCTGCCGAGCCGCGGCTCCGCGCTGCACCGGTGCCCACACGGGGGCACGGGGGGGATGCCCGTCCCTCTGGTGACGTCCTCACGCCGCGGAAGGCGTCAGGCGACAGTTTCTTTTGTTGTTGTTGCTTTCCCCCCCTGCCTTCTTGGCCCGAGGGGGGGGCCCTCGCGATGAGGAGGAGGAGCAAGGGGAGGAGGAGGAGAAGGAGGAGGAGGAGGAGGAGGAGGAGGTGGAGGAGGTGGAGGAGGAGGCGGAAGAGGAGGAGGAGGAGGAGGAGGAGGAGGAGGAGGAGGATTAGGATTAGGATTAGGAGGAGGGTAATGAGGGTAAGGACAATGCGGGCACAGCAAGGTGCCCCTCGCACTCATGCGCACTGGACGAGCTCGATCGCTTCCGTCGAGCTCGAAATCCTCGGCCGGAGCCCTCTGACAGGACCTCTCCCAGCGAATGAGCTCTTCGGGCGACTCGAAACCGTGCAAGCTGGCAACAGAGATGGCATCAAGCCCTTGGAGGCGCAGCAAGCGTCCACCTGCCCGCTGCCCCACTACTGGCATCGAAGCCTCGGCCGAACCCTGCCCCTTATCAGCTTCGCTGTCGCGGGACCCGGCAGCAGCAGCGGCAAGAGCAGGCTCAAGCAGAGGCCCCCAAACAGCTCGCATCTGCAGGGACGGCCTAAAGGCCGCGCCAATCCCCGCTGCTCCGTGATTATGCCATGGGAGCAAGCCTCTCCGAAGCTTGGACCGCTGGGTCTTCAAGCCTGGATGCTCAGCTCCTTTGCAGCTCCCCTGGAAACGAGGAGGAGGAGGAGGAGGAGGAGGAGGAGGAGGAGGAGGAGGAGGAGGAGGAGGAGCAGGAGGCTTCTTCTTGTCCCGAAGGGGGGGGCCCTCGCGGGGCCCCGGGGACAGCTCCATGCTTCCGGGGACCCCGTGTGGAGAGAGTCACGACGCCGGAAGTCTTTCGAGGGAAGAAACACGTGGACCCTGTTGTCGGGGGATCTGTTCGAGGCCGATCTTGAACGTGGTCCATGTCGGCCGTCGCCGATTTGCGAGGATGCTCCAAGAATTGACGCTGACCGCGATCGTCTTGGTCGTGGTCCCCGTTTTCTTCCCCTCCAGTGGGCCTGCTGACGTCCTTGCGTCGCAGAAGAAGTCACGGCGTCTTTTTTGTTGTTCCCTAGTGTTGGAGCCGCCTTTGGGTCTGAGGTGGCCCAGCACCGGTTCTGGGCAGCAGGAAGGTTCTGGGTGCGGGGCGGTCTCAGGCGCTGTTCGGCCTCGGGGGGCCGCTTTCGGGCCCAGGGGCCGCGGAAGACGGGCCCGGGGTGCACGACTCCATCAGATGGACCCCAGCAGGGGTCCGGGGATTGATTTTGAGCGGAATTGGCCTCCTCTCCTTCCCTCCCCTCCTGACGGATTGTCGGTGGCCCCAACCGGTTCAGACACCCCGGCCGCCTCCAACCCTGGTAGCGTTTGGTTGAAGGGTTCTTGTAGTGGCATTTGAGTCTCTCGGGGGGGACGGGAAGCCCTGCGACCGACCAGTCCTGCAGCCGTTTCGCCGGAGGTTTCCTGAATTACACAACTCATTCATGAGTCGTGGTGTCGCCCCAGTGCCGGCTACGGTAGGTTCGCGTCGTCTCGACCGGCGGCGACCCCGCCACCTGCGTTCGACGTTGAAGGCCGCCAGCGACGCAGAGTCGGTCGATGCTGAACGAGCTGACGCTTCGGAGGCGCCCGATCGTGCAAGGTGGCACGATCCCCGCGGCGTCGGGAGAAGGAGGAGGAGGAGGAGGAGGAGCAGGAGGAGGAGCAGCAGCAGCAGCAGCAGCAGCAGGAGCAGGAGGAGGAGGAGGAGGAGGAGGAGGAGGAGGAGGAGGAGGGGGGGGGGAGGGGGAGGGGGAGGGGGACAAGCTAGGTGCGCTCGCGTCATATCTGACATCCTACCCCTCCCTTCCATCCCTTACC